CTTTGTAGGTTTATATGTACGTAATCTGCGCGACTTGTGCGTCCACATCTCCACGTGCAGTGCTGCATAAACATGGCTGAGTCAGCGATAACTTTCGAGGGGTGGAGGTATGCCCATTACTTTGAGTTCGTCCGAAGAATAGACAGGAATGTGACGGTGAGGTGCAAACTGTGTCCAGGCCAGAAGCTGTTATACACTGCTGTAAACACCACGTCAAACCTCAACACACACCTGCAAAGAACATATGCTAAGGTGAAGCTACCGCACACGCTATTTGTTATTTGTTTATATCACGCAGTCTGTTCTTCTTCTCTGTCTTCCGGTTGTTGCCTGTTTTGATTGACAAATACACACTACCGCCGCCTGCTGGAAAGGAAAGTTATTGCCACTCACGCGCAGTTCGTACGTGCTCGGCGAGTAAAGTAACGAGTAAAGTAACGAGTTACTCTATGTAGATAGTAACGAAGTAGTGTAATATATTACTTTTTTTAAAAAAGTCATATGTAATATATTACATTTTTTTAGTAACGACCCCATCTCTGGAGTTGGCGTTCTCTACTCTGATTTACATGAAGAACAACAGGAGGTCACGGCTCTCTGTTGAACAGGACTTGCGAGTGGCCCTCTCCTCAGTGCCACCAAGGATTCAAAAATTCTGCGCGCCCCGACAGGCACATGTATCTCACTCATTTGTAAGTCGGCAAAATATTTACAATAGCACATGTTTCAATGCTGATTGCTGAAATGTTATATTTATAATTTGTAGTTCAGGACCATGGACTACAGCTTCCTTGCATTGACAGTTCTCTGTGCTGAATTTCTGCTGAGTTTCCTTTGCCTCATTTTTAATTTTGTGACCTGTTTGGTTTAAATGAGTGTGTTGCTGCTTTGATGAAGCCTAATTTGATAAAGTTTCAAATTAATTTCTGAAATATTTCGTTAATAAATATTTCATGAGTAATATAGTTGTCTTTGTCACATTTTATTTGGCATTAGTAAATAATTATGCACATTTACAGATATTTTACATGATATGAGTGATAACACGTGTTATAAGGGCTATTTTGCACAATAGGTGTGCCTTGAGATTTTTACTTGTCCTTTGGTGTGCCTTGGGCACAAAAAGTTTGGCAACCACTGGGTTAGAGTTTGCGTGGAGGACCGCACATTTTTCCGTCAAGTTAGTATTTTATAAATCGCAAACATTGGGTAGAAACTGGCGTACGCCATTTTTTGAGGCCCCTGGAGAGCTGAAGCATGTATTCATGGATAAAAACTGTGTTCTCTCCTTCTATATCCTGTGAGAAAATTATATAAATGTACCATAAGAAACTCGACATACTATTCCTAGCCTGAGGAAGATCTGAATAATCAACAGATTTGAATGGAATCTCTAACATTTTCATGTAGAATAAAGACAAAAGAGTGATAATACAAATCACATTTATTGAAATTTGAACCAGAAGATGAAGTCTCAAAGAATGTTTTAAATAAAAGGATATAAAACAAAAAGGTGGATAATAATACAATCTATTCAATGTGTATGTAAAGACATTTGGTCAAATGAAATGACACTGAGCCAGTGATAACAGCAATGCCCAGTGTGGATGAAGCTGGTGCAGGTCTTTCTTCTCTTAAACTCTTAGTTTTGCTTGATTCTGAGAAAGTGTTGCTTTATCTTAATGGCACAAAGCTGATTCCATACTCCCAAGCAACATCAGTGGAACAAGTCTGAAAGCGAGAAGAAAGATCTGAAAGTGGAAAAAAAGATCTGAAAGTGAAAAAAATGATTCTGTTTTGATTCTGAAAAGGTAAAATCTGCAAATGAAAAAAATAAGGATTTAAATATCAACATATGTATAAAAGTGAAATATGAAAATAAATATTTTATTTCCAAAAAATTGCTGAACTGATTCCAAATAATATTTAACCTTGTGTTTGGAAACAAAGTACTTTGCAAATATAATTCCTATTTATTATTGTTATCAACACAGTTACAGGTGAATATGTCTGCATTTCCTGCCAAATACTAGCCTCAAAAAGATTAAAATATAATTAATGCAAATAAACTACTTCTAATAATAATAATAATAATAATAATCATAATCAATTTTATTATAATATAGTTGTCATATAGTCAAGACAAAACATGCTTATTACATGCTCAAAAACTGATATTTCTTAAATCTGTATTCAAATGTAGTTCCCTCTGTCAACAACTACACACACATTTCTATCAGTATTTCTCTGTGTTGTGGTTGACATGATGATGACTGTTAGGAGTTAAGGGGAGAGGCTGAGCATCACCATGAAATGTGCAAATTGAGAACGCGGAGAACTGCTGAGAACTGCGCACAAGCCGAGCTCATAAGCCGAGGCCCCCTGCGCAATGTGAGGGAGGGACGGCCCTGATTGTATTTTCAAAGATAAAAACTTGAACTTTCAAATAAATTGTATTTTTTTGAATGTTCAAAACGTACTGTATTACCCTGATATAGCTCCATAGCTCTGTCCATTCAATGTACATGATGTATTAACCCCAGAATATGTGCATAAATGTCCCCTTTGATTTCACTCGCATCTGAATATAACATTTTAAATAACAACTCTTCACATGAGTTACTACAGTGTGTACAGCAGGCACAGGTCTCGTCTGGAAACAGCTGATTTGGGCCTTTTCCTGCCACCATGTTTTAGTTCAAGGTGAACCTCGGGATGGTTTCTGTGAGTTATGAAAGCTTTTTAGAAAATCGTTCCCTGTTGTGTTTGCATCAGTTTTGTGTTGTAATGTCTGAATATTTAACTGTATTTCATCTTAACATAGTGTAGTTAAGAGGCTGTTTGGTAGAACTAATTCAGGGAAAAAAGGTTTCAGCTCAAATAATCCACTGTCACTGTTTTCAATAAAAATAGCCACAAATTCACAATGGTTGGTTTTGTTGCTCTTCCCCGATTCCAACATTAACCTTAAACTATCCATGGCATTAGTTAATGTATGACTTTTGAAAGTCTGTAACTATTGTTGTTTCTTGTTACTTTCCACATATATTGTTTAGAATTCACAATGTGAAATATTAAAATATTGTGAAAAATCTCCAGCCGAGAGAAATCAACACTGGACGAGAATCAAGAGATACTTTTAAGAGAGATACTTTATTGACCCTAAATTGGGAAAATATGTGTTGCAGCAGCAACAAGCAAGTGTACAGGCATTAAAATATTAAAATCTTTAAAAGGTGGAAGAAAGTATTAACATCATAAAATAAAATAACAATAAGCAACTATAACATTATTATTCATCTCCCAAACAGAAACACTTTGAAAAATAAAGATATATGACAGACCAAAACTTGCAAATAAACCTAAACTACACAGATTTACCATTTTAACAAAGCAATGTAAATGTGATGTGTAGTGCAAAGAACATACAAAATAATCAGATCAACATAAAAAACAAACCAAATAAAATACAAATAAAATACATATTTAAATTGATTAAATTAGGTTTCAGTTTTCACAGCTTCAGCTTTTGTGCAATATTTAAATGTATGCAGGTAGGATTGTATGTAGGACATAACGAAAGTAAAGTTGGGTTTATGGTTCGTACATTTTCAAGAATATGATGAAACACATTTTTTTGACCATAATCAAATGCCAACCAAATAAAACGAATTAAATGTTTGGTTTGAGTTTAGAATCTAAATACTTCATCAGGTCCTTCGCTCCTCAGGCCGGCCTCTGATGTCATCAGTAACAGCCGTAGTCCTGCTGCAAACCTAATGTAGTCCTGCACAGTGGCGGCCGGCCCATAGGGGCGCTAGGGGCGCCGCCCCACCTCTTCCCACATTAAAAAAAATATATTAAAAAAAAAATTAAATTAATTTTTTTAAATTAAAAAATATATTTTATATTTTTATTTTTAATGAACAAGGTAAATATCATACAATTGGTATCAGTTAAATGTATAATCTACAATAAAATCTCGTTTAAAATTGTGTTACGATGTCTAAAGTTACTGATAAGTCACATGTTTCCTGCCTGGCCTTGCCCATGGCATTAGTTTATCATTACCGGGCGGAGCCCCCGAGACAAACAGCAGCAATCAGCACGTTGCAAAAGTCTCAATAGTAAACTGTGCCGCCGAAACATAATTTCAGCCAATCAGCGCCGTCAAATATTTTGGTCACGAGGGCGCTCACGTTGGCGCCCACGTTGCTTACAGTGACGTGGGTTGTTTTTTAGACTCGTGAAGTGACCAAGGTGACGCAGTATTTAGAATGGTGTGCAGGTGGAGTCGCCGGACCTCGGTCCGCACCCAATTCCGTGCAAGAGCTACTCTCCAATCCTTTCCAAAGGAGAAGTTTGGGAGATAAATTGATACTTAAAGACCTTGGACCGGACCAACCAGATTTGTATATATCACAGCAAGCTCGTGAAAAAGACAAAACGTATCAACGAGGCTAGCTGGATGCAAACGATGCAAACAGGTAAATGCTATCTTTTGTTTCCCATGCTTGCTCTTCAAACAGATACGATCTGTTCAGAAACTAGACAAAAGTTAAACAAGTACAAACCACAGACTGTCTGTGTCATGGAGAATATAGTCGCTGGTTTATTTATGTAGCCTATAGGCCGTTGTTGTGAGTGTGGACGGTCGGAACATATATAACGTTAGCTTAGCCAAGCTCCATTCAGAAAACAAGCATTCTAAAAGGTTTTTCGCCTGCCGTCTGTCTGCAGACTTGTCAAAGCATTAATTCATGGTTTTTACTAACCGGTATCAGTATGTTGTTACGTCGGCATCATTTAGAAACGTGTATTACAATTTAATCACGGTAAAATATGTTCATTTTGTTGTAGTTGTAGCTCCCGAGCCAGCGCGTCTTGTTTGAATGATACGAGTAAACACAGCTGGCAGCCGCGGTGAAATTCGAGCGACTAGAGCGATGCGATAGGAGCGTTTAGAGCAAAGCGAATATTCGCATATATGCCGCAACGCAGCATTAAAGCGAGCTCCGCGCTGCACTGGAAACGCGCCATTACATCACCAGAAGTCCTAATTTAAGGGGTAATTTCTCCCAAAAAAAAATGTTTTACTCACTATATCAAAAGCCCCACCAAAAATATTTTCCACCTGCCGCCACTGGTCCTGCAACATTCATCAGGTTCCTTTCCATACAGCCATGGGCCCTTCAGTTAGAACGAAAAGAGGAACGGAGATGCCTCTGTCATTTCTTCTTCTGCTGTTAAACTGTCAACACTTGTCCATGTCTGGCTGCTGCGTCACACATCCAAACATCCTCTGGAGTAAGGTCTTGCCACCAGACTGTTTTGAAACGGGGCTAAAGAGAGTGACAGAGAGGTATGTTTAGATACTTCAGGTTGATTCTCTTCATATCACACAGGCCTACATGAAATTACACAAGTGTAATCTATGTGAATAAAAACTGAGTCCCCTTACAGTGATGACTGGATGAGTTGTGTCTCAGTGTAGCTTAAATCCTCCATCGAGGCTGATGGTATCGCCCTCTCCTCCACCTTGTCCTCCACTATCTTGTCCCAGATCTCCGTGTTGACCCACAGGGCCCCGGGCAGGGTCAGGCTGGCCCTGGTGCAGGTGATCCAGCGGCACAGGGGGCAGGAGACGCAGCAGAGGAACCCCTTCAGCTGGGACAGCTGCTCCAGGCAGGGTGCACAGAAGGTGTGTCCGCAGTGCAGCACCCGAGGGACCCGGCCGCTGCGAGAGTACTCATTGAAGCACACCACACACTCCTTCTCCTCGTGTACGACCATGGTGTCTGAGGGTGTAGTGAGGTGGAGTGCAGACTGGGAGCAGAGTGAAGGCATTCAACAGACCACCTGCTGCACAGGAAGAAAGAAACCAGTCAGAAATCTAATCAAATATTATCATTACTATACAAAAATGCATCGAGCAGTTTCTTTCTAATCATACTTACTTTCAGGGTTGATAAGGCTGCCTGTGATCCTGCTGTTGGTAACGTGTGTGTAGCTCTGCTGAGGTTTGCTGTGTCTGTGTGAACAGCCTGCTGATATTTATCAGACCTGCCTGATCATGTGACGTGTCAGAGGAATCATTTCCAAGGAAGGCAGTTAAAAGAATTCTGTGGAACTCAGTTCTTAATCACGCACGCCAAAGCACCTGCACATGCGCATATCTCCGGAACTCCAAGAGGAATGCCTTTGAGTGCAGTCAAACTGTTCATAAAGACATCTTTGATTACAAAAATAAATAAATAAAATAATCGTAGAAAGGTCTCTCCACATTGTAGCCTACGTGAAGGCAAGGTGGGAGAAAGAAGCTAACATAAAGTTAACAGAAGACGAATGGTTAAACATAAAGACTCAGTCTACCACACCAAGCGCTGACTGCGGTCAAGCCAGCCGTCTTTCACTTTTGCGTGGTCAAACCAGCCGCCCCTGTATTTCGAGTGCGCGATTAGTTACAGGTTTACGGTAATGCAATAAAACAACCCTGGGAAGCTGGACGTTTCGTATGTGCAGGAACACTTCCGGTGAGGATTTCAAATTAAAGGATGGCATGTGGGTCATTTATATTATCTGCGATTGAGGAACAGGGTAATTTATGAGAATAATGTTAGGACTTATTGCTTCATACACTTGTTGCACAAATACTATGAACTACTTTTACTGTGTACTTTTTGAGTAATTTGAGTTTCAAAGTCCCCTCCGGAGAACAAGAATGAGCATTTGTGTCAACTTTAATGTGGTCTAAAAAACATTTCTTCCATAGACATATGACACTGCCATGTTCTTCTGCCCTAGTTGCAGAGAAAGCAATTCCAATTGCTTGCCCTGGCTTCTTGGAGTTGGTCCTGATTCATCCCCAGGCACTGCTCATGGAACCATCTTTCACAGGTGTCACACTGTATCTGTAAAATGAAATGAGTGACCATCAAATCTGATACATCTTGTCATCAGAAATGATGAAGTAATGAAGTGCAATAGAGAATAATTTTGGCAAAATTAGATTCATGTCAACTTTATTACATGTATCTATAGTCTGTAGCATACTCACCTCAAACACCAGTTTAATATCTGAAAATAACTATATTATGTCTACATTTTCAGTTTTTCAAATAAAAATGTTTTTTAGGTAGTTATACTGTAGGTAGAAGATTTATAGTTCTGGGAAAACCCCATGTTGCATCACTATAATGTAGTTACCTTTTGGTATTCTTAATTGGTCAGTTATGTATTGCATACAAGCTGCTTCTCCCTGCTTCCCATATTTTGATAGTGACTTACAGGATGTTGGTGTGTGAAAGAGGACAACAGCAGATAACACACACAAACCTCTTTCCAAGTGGTCCGTTTTACATTAGGAGTGTTGCCTCAAGGTATAACTTGGTTTCCAGGCCTGATCTGGTGGACATGTACCGTCAGTCTCCCAGCGGCGTAGAGTGAGGTGGTATCCCTATTCCACTACTCATCACATTTGATATTCTCTCTGTTCATTATATGTGTAAACAATGTATATACATTACCATTTATCTGAGAGAAGTTGTCTTGACTGTTTTGTTAGTAAATCAATTTATATCGTTTCCACAGTCATTTTGAATAGAGTTAATGTGTGTGGGCTGCAGCTGGGGCGACGCACGAGGTTGCCGTAAAAAAATAATTCGGCATGCGCCGAAAAGTAGAAATTGAAGCATGGCCCTGCAGCGTTTTCGCTGGACCGCCTGATCTGGATAGACCCAGTGAATCAACAGTTTTGTAAATACATCTAATATCATAAATTGAATTTGATTAGAATATGATGAAGCCCTATTATAACTACACTACGACAAATACTCACCCAATCTGTAGTGGGAGGCCCAGATCCTAGGGGCTTTGAGGCAGAGCACATTGCACAGTTGTTCTCCATGTGAAACACTGCAGGAAAAGAAAATATGTTATTTAGACATACTGTATATGTATACAGTTTATTGGCAGCAGAAGTGCAGTCAAATTCTATGCAGCTGTTCAGCTGTAAATTACAGCTTATGAACTCTAAATGGATCATGAATGGGATCATTAACACAGGTTTAATATGTTTTTAAGGATGGATGTTTTAAAAAGAAGACTATGTACACAGTGTGAACAGAACAACATATAAGCAGACATACATAAACAATCCGTAATATTCTAAACATTACTAGGCAATGATCTGTATGCAACAAATTTAAAAATGCAGGAATTTATATTTGTCACTGTTTCACTCTAAGCCCTGTTTTGTGTTCCATATTTCACCCATGCCTCCTTCCACTCTGCCTGTAAGCTTTCAATAAACCACCTATAAACTGTTCCTGGATGCCTGGTACAATCTGTATTAGTTTCCTCTTCCCTGCTCTCCTGACACAAACCGTGACAGTTTAAGTGTCAGTATTTACATTCCTTATTGCAGCAGTAAAAAAAGTTATTCTTCAACTGTTAATGTCTCAATGGAGTGTGTGTGAGAGAAATATAAGTTATGGGTTCAACTGAGATATGTATGGAATATTTGGTTTGGGCCCTGTGCTTAAAATCAATGATGCTGTAGGCTATAAATGATGTAGTGTGTGGACTCAAAGGCAATTTTACAGCCTGTAGTTATTGTAGATTTGTTTGATTGCATTGGATTAATAGAAGTTCATCATTTCCATAACAACTAACTAAGAACCATAACATAAAGCAGGACAAATGACTTACAAACCTGAACCATTGAGTATTGAAAGTGCAAACTTTCTCCTCTCACAAGCCATCTCCTTTTTGGATGTCCCAAAGGACATAATTGGTAATGCAGAAAAGGCCTCCATCACTGCTCTTGCCATCTACACACCAACACACAGAATCACACTTCTCATCTGCGCTACATTGTTTTTGCCAGTAAAATTACAACATTGAATTGATATTTCAATAAAAATGATCAAACTATTAATAACTAATAGTTGTAATGAGGTAATTAACACAACTTGAAGAATGTACATGACAAACTACATGGGTTGTGTCAACAACCAGCCCTCTTATCACTTTTACACAATTCCCCTAAAAAATAAACTGAAAATTGATAATTCAGAAACTAATGAATTATTTTTTAACATCATTGACTATTTTATACTTTAAACTTGTATAATAATCAAGACACTGAAATAAATATAAGAATATATATATATGTAGCAGAAGCATAAATATTACATATAGTAGTTAAAGTAAAAAACTACGTTACCATGGTAACAATGACCCCACAGCAACTGCCATCACGTTGAACTGGATGGTGCATGGTTGCTCCTCTCCATTTGACAGTCCCCCAGTCCTCCTTGCCATAGCAGCAGGGGCAGATCTACGGGGGGGGGGCAAGGGGGGGCAGCTGCCCCCCCCCCCCCCCCCCCCACTGTAGAGCCTTGCCCCCCCAGCTGCCCCCCTAACTTTTGTTTCCCTAAAACTGTACTAAAACAAACCTACACTATTTCCACAAGCTTCTCAAGCAACGAAACAAGCATTACATTAGTTAAAAGTGAATCATTTTAAATATCATTTTAGGCCCGTTAAAAACGCAGCTACGGCCCTGCATTAAACTGCGGAGCGGCGTTCACACAGACCGCGGCTCACAGAGCTGCAGAGAGGGAGCGAGCCGTCCCAGCGCCTATGGGTCAGCTACCCCTGGGAGCATTTCCCCTTCCACTAGTTTTGTTTTTACTAAGGACGAGAGCTTGAAACTAAATATTAATAAAACGCTGCCGTTTGAATCGATAGCGTTTAACAGATGGGCGCTGTTTGGGGCGTTACGTTACAAAATACTACGCAGACAGCGTTAGCTGGGAGATCGATCACTTTGCTAAACTATGCGGTAGCCTACTATTAAATCCACGTAAACTACACATCACAGCAATGAGGCCAGATCAATGAAACCAGGATACATCCTTTACCGTAAAAACTGGATCTAAACACAGCTGCCTGTGTACGTTTGATAAATACTTTCTGATGATATGCTACTTATTAGCTAGGCTACATGGCCCTAACGTGTAAAGTTATACAAGCATTTGTACCAGTGCTTTTCACAAGTAGACTCTTGCAGGCCAGAGTATAGGAGTGATTCAACAACAACAAAAATACATATGAGAAGTGATCAGGACGAACAGAAAGAGGAAAAGGAAAAGAGAGTTCACTGAAGAGACCAGGAGGGTCAGAGCAGGAGGAAGAGGAGGAGATGAAGACATTAGTGAAGAAGAATAAATATATGTGAGGAATAAAGATGAAGTATCAGAAAGAGGGCCAGAGGCAGGGATCAGGAGGCAGATGAAACTCCAGCTGGACCACATGGTATGTTCTTATTCTCCTTACATATTCCATTACAGCAGCACAATCTAGCAGCTCTTAGTATTGACAATTATTGATTGAAATGTGTTGCTGCACAGGTCACCTGTAGCTCTCTGAAGAGATGGGTCATGTCATTTGTGTACTTAATTATAACTAAGTACTTACAGTATGCAGAATTAGAGTATTCTCTGAATCGGGTGCCTTTAGGGTCTTTATATATTTGAAAAATGAAACCAAAATGTTTGTGTTAGGGCATGAATTAACAATAAATAGGTTATATACAGTGTAAAATACCACGTACTGTCCACCCTCCCATGCCACTCTGGCATGACCTCTTGCCCCCCCTTTGCCACCCCATGTAAAATGTTCTAGAACCGCCACTGCATAGCAGGTCCTCCTCATCTTGAACTATTCCCTTTGTAAAACACATTGTGGAATAGTCTCTAATGTAACTCCCAACAGACACATGTAGAATACAAATCTTTAAATATTGTGTAAAATAAAAACACTCCATCCCAACAGTATGGACACTGGAAAATATTGTAGGTTACCTTGCTTACTGAGCTACTTCATTTAGAACTGTACACAGATACTAAGGGCGGGATAAGGAAATATCATTTAAAAAACAGCTGAGACCACCGCTTCAGTGGTGTGGGTTTGGGAACTTCTGTTAACATACTTATGTTTACTTAAACACAAAGCACTAAATATAATTCTAAGATCACTTTATATCTAATTTGCTGACTTACCGTACTCTTTTCGCAGCATTTTCCGAGTCTGCTTTCTCTTTGGAATTTGCCGCTGGATCCACCAAAAATACTGATCTTATAGCAGGAAATAAGTACTAAAAAAAAAAGGGATGTTATTTCAAAACAGCATCAAACATATATACATATTTAAATGAAAGGGATTTCTGAATGAAAACAATCACTAACCAGCAACTTCCAGTGTGTTCTTTCAATATTTACAAAGGCGATCACGGCTTGATAATCATTAAAGTTGATCTATAACAGCAATAAAAATACTTTTTTTAAAGTTTTCGTAGGAATATGATGCCTTATTTTATTAAAAATAAATCATGGTGTTTGAATTTGTATATTAAATTACAAAATAGAAAACCCAAAGTACTATAACACAGCCTCGCCTACTGATTTCAAATGTGTGCTCTAAAATGATATTTATAAATGACTATTATTATTATTATTATTATTATTATAAGCAAGACAATAAATGGCAAAGATATGTAGAAAATAAACGTATTTGAGATACGTTCATAGGCAAGGCAAGGCAAGTTTATTTATATAGCACTTTTCAACACAAGGCAATTCAAAGTGCTTTACAAAAATGAAAGACATTAAGAAAATGGCATTAAAAATCAGTCATTAAAAGAAAAGCTAATACAATAAACATTAAAAGAAAAAATACATGGATAAAATGTACAGTGCAGTCTAAGATATGAATAGTTCAATTAAAAGCAGCGACAAAAAGAAAAGTCTTCAGCCTGGATTTAAAAGTAGTAAGAGTTGCAGCGGACCTGCAGGTTTCTGGGAGTTTGTTCCAGATATTTGGAGCATAATAACTGAACGCTGCTTCTCCATGTTTAGTTCTGACTCTGGGGACAGAAAGCTGAAGATATTCATAAGAAACGTAACGTGGGAGAAAATGTGTTTCTAGAAGATATTTAGAAAATAAACGTATTTGAGATACGTTCATAACGAACGTAACGTGGGAGAAAATACGTTTCTAGCTAAACGTAATTGAGAATGCAGTTTAGTTCTGTGGGAACGTACTTTTTAGGAGACAGGGTTGAGCAGTCAAACATGGTGGTGGAAATAATACATTCTCTAGGAGTGACTTTGCCATTGGATTACTGAAAAAATTGACAGTAAAAGTAGTTCATATTATTTTTGCAAGTAGTCTAAGAAGTACTAAGTACAAACATGGCAGTTTCATAAACTACTTATGGAAGAAATGTGTTTTATCCCACATTAAAGTTGACAAAAATGCTCATTCTTGTTCTCCGGAGGGGACTTTAAAACTCAAATTACTCAAAAAGTACACAGTAAAAGTAATTCATATTATTTGTGCAAGTAGTCTAAGAAGTACTAAGTACAAACATGGCAGTTTCATAAACTACTTATGGAAGAAATGTGTTTTATCCCACATTAAAGTTGACACAAATGCTCATTCTTGTTCTCTGGAGGGGACTTTGAAACTCAAATTACTCAAAAAGTACACAGTAAAAGTAGTTCATATTATTTTTGCAAGTAGTCCAAGAAGTACTAAGTACAAACATGGCAGACTCATAAACTACTTATGGAAGAAATGTTTTTTAGACCACATTAAAGTTGACGAAAATGCTCATTCTTGTTCTCTGGAGAGGACTTTTGCCATTCTCAAAAAGTACACAGTAAAAGTAGTTCATAGTATTTGTGCAACAAGTTTATGAAGCAATAAGTCCTAACATTATTCTCATAAATTACCCTGTTCCTCAATCGCAAATAATATAAATGAACCACATGCCATCCTTTACTTTGAAATCCTTACCGGAAGTGTTCCTCGGTGGGATTTTCTGTAGCTTTAAAGTGGTCGAATATATAATACTGCACATACGAAACGTCCAGCTTCCCAGGGTTGTTTTTATTGCATTACCGTAAACCTGTAACTAATCGCGCACTCGAAATACAGGGGCGGCTGGTTTGACCACGCAAAAGTGAAAGACGGCTGGCTTGACCGCAGTATGCTCTGGTAGCCTATATGGAGAGAATTTGCACGGAATTTTTTTTTTACGGTTCTTTATAACCCCAAAGTCTGCGGGGATGGTTAATGCTGGAGAATGTGTGGAAATGAATCTGCTGATCACTTTCATATTTGTTGGGACTGCTGTAGTATTTATTTGTATTTGGCAGAGGTAGTAAAAGAGATTAGATCAATAATCAGCGCAGAACTCGACTTTAGTTTCAGTGTGATGTACTTGGGGAACATCCCAACCAGTCTTGAACAACAAGACATCTGTTGAATGTTTTATGATCGATAAAGGCAGGATTTGTTTCCCGTTTTCTCCCCATGACACTTTATATATTATGGAATCAGTTTTGTGCCATTAAGATAAAGCAACACTTTCTCAGAATCAAGCAAAACTAAGAGTTTGCGCTCTCTCACTTTTTGTTTGCGATTCAGGCACAAACATCTCAGGTGGGTGGGACATTCAGGGGTGCGTCCCATTGGCTACTAAGCTTTTGAGTGACAGCCCACTACACCACAGATTGTACAGTGCAACTCATGCAGAAAACTCCGGAGACCACCCGGCCGCGTTTGTGTTGGTGCCTCCTGGAAGTTTTCATGAAAATATCGGACTTATTTTATGGATTGCTGTGCATTATAATTGTGTTGTGTAGTTTCTACTTTATTCCAACTTTTAATATTTTAATACCTGACACCTGATCGCCTCATGTATAAAGCCTTGCGTAGGATTCACGTGGGAAGGTTGCTTACAAGCAAATAAATACGCACAGACATTTTGCGATTTATAAAACACTGCGTACCGGCGTGCGGCACGTCCTACGCCGGTTTCCCTTTATAAATCACAATCAACTCGAAATGTGGCTCAGCTTTTGCGGGCTTCACGCAACACCCATATTTGCATATAAACAGTCAAAGAAACGCCCCGTATTAATATTTATTCTGACTGACTTTATGAAGAAGATCGCAGGAAATGACGACAGAACAGCTAAAAAATACATCTCACACCGTGTCAGATTTTGGTTATTTTGGGGAGGTCGAGAAAAATCATATTGTTTGGTGGATGCCGTTTGAACCAGAGTAGCAGCATGGAGGTCGGATCGTCACCAAAATAAATAAATAAATAAGTGGTCTGAAAAAGTTTAATGACAAAAAGAATACACATAGCCTTCCTCAGGCAGTGTGTTTGTACCGGGGACAGGAGACACCCCCTTGATGAGAAACTGTAAGAAATGATCGGGGAATCCCTCCGGAGTGGATCATGACGACTGGATCTGAATTATGTTTTTGTATTTGGTGGTTTGTGTCCCAGCTGTCGATCAGCAAATATATCCATAATCCACCAGTTAAAGGAAATACAACTAATGTGTTGTGTTATATTAGCTGTTCAATTGACCACAGGTGTTCTTAGTTTCCATACATCCTGTGTTTTACGAGCGACTTATCAAGTCTTGGCAAACGGCATAAAACACGATTAAACGTAATAGTAGCCTATATAAACCATGCTCATATGCAACCTATAGAAATGCAAAACGGCGTCAGTTTAGACGTAATTCTGTCCTCCTGCATACAGCATCATGTATGAGAAAACATGTCATAACATTAAGACAACATATTCAAGGTGGTTTTAATTAACATATCCGTATTTATTTATTTCTCCAAGTTATGTTTTTGTGTGCACTGAGGAGTCTCAAACGGGCGTTTGTTAAATAATTTTAAGATTGGCTTTAATCAATTTGTGAAAATGAATTCTTCATATATGATAAATGAGAGGTAACATTTTATTTATGGTATTATTTCCACATATGTATCTCCATTCTTCCTTCTGCCAACGGTGTCGCAGTTTCTCGTCTCTCCCGTTGTTGTGCTTAGTGCGTACGCATGGGTTAGAGTTTGCGTGGAGGACCGCACATTTTCCTGTCAAGTTAGTATTTTATAAATCGCAAACATTGCGTAGAAACTTGCATACGCCATTTTTTAAGCGTATATCCCTTTATAAATGAGGCCCCTGGAGAGCTGAAGCATGTATTCATGGATAAAAACTGTGTTCTCTCCTTCTATATCCTGTGAGAAAATTATATAAATGTACCATAAGAAACTCGACATACTATTCCTAGCCTGAGGAAGATCTGAATAATCAACAGATTTGAATGGAATCTCTAACATTTTCATGTAGAATAAAGACAAAAGAGTGATAATACAAATCACATTTATTGAAATTTGAACCAGAAGATGAAGTCTCAAAGAATGTTTTAAATAAAAGGATATAAAACAAAAAGGTGGATAATAATACAATCTATTCAATGTGTATGTAAAGACATTTGGTCAAATGAAATGACACTGAGCAGTGATAACAGCAATGCCCAGTGTGGATGAAGCTGGTGCAGGTCTTTCTTCTCTTAAACTCTTAGTTTTGCTTGATTCTGAGAAAGTGTTGCTTTATCTTAATGGCACAAAGCTGATTCCATACTCCCAAGCAACATCAGTGGAACAAGTCTGAAAGCGAGAAGAAAGATCTGAAAGTGGAAAAAAAGATCTGAAAATGAAAAAAATGATTCTGTTTTGATTCTGAAAAGGTAAAATCTGCAAATGAAAAAAATAAGGATTTAAATATCAACATATGTATAAAAATGAAATATGAAAATAAATATTTTATTTCCAAAAAATTGCTGAACTGATTCCAAATAATATTTAACCTTGAAAATTATTTTAAATACTTATTTTTTAGTTTGAATACATCATTGTATTCAGGGCCGCCCCCCCCCCAAACTGACAGGAGTGGAAAAAAAATCTTTGGAAACAAAGTACTTTGCAAATATAATTCCTATTTATTATTGTTATCAACACAGTTACAGGTGAATATGTCTGCATTTCCTGCCAAATACTAGCCTCAAAAAGATTAAAATATAATTAATGCAAATAAACTACTTCTAATAATAATAATAATCATAATAATCATAATCAATTTTATTATAATATAGTTGTCATATAGTCAAGACAAAACATGCTTATTACATGCTCAAAAACTGATATTTCTTAAATCTGTATTCAAATGTAGTTCCCTCTGTCAACAAATACACACACATTTCTATCAGTATTTCTCTGTGTTGTGGTTGACATGATGATGACTGTTAGGAGTTAAGGGGAGAGGCTGAGCATCACCATGAAATGTGCAAATTGAGAACGCGGAGAACTGCGCTGAGAACTGCGCCCAAGCCGAGCTCATAAGCCGAGGCCCCCTGCGCAATGTGAGGGAGGGACGGCCCTGATTGTATTTATAAAAGATAAAAACTTGAACTTTCAAATAAATTGTATTTTTTTGAATGTTCAAAACGTATTACCCTGATATAGCTCCATAGCTCTGTCCATTCAATGTACATGAGGTATTAACCCCAGAATATGTGCATAAATGTCCCCTTTGATTTCACTCGCATCTGAATATAACATTTTGAATAACAACTCTTCACATGAGTTAGTGTGTACAGCAGGCACAGGTCTCGTCTGGAAACAGCTGATTTGGGCCTTTTCCTGCCACCATGTTTTAGTTCAAGGTGAACCTCGGGATGGTTTCTGTGGGTTATGAAAGCTTTTTAGAAAATCGTTCCCTGTTGTGTTTGCATCAGTTTTGTGTTGTAATGTCTGAATATTTAACTGTATTTCATCTTAACATAGTGTAGTTAAGAGGCTGTTTGGTAGAACTAATTCAGGGAAAAAAGGTTTCAGCTCAAATAATCCACTGTCACTGTTTTCAATAAAAATAACCACAAATTCACAATGGTTGGTTTTGTTGCTCCTCCCCCGATTCCGACATTAACCTTAAACTATCCATGGCATTAGTTAATGTATGACTTTTGAAAGTGTGTAACTATTGTTGTTTCTTGTTACTTTCCACATATATTGTTTAAAATTCACAATGTGAAATATTAAGTGTTTAAAGTCAACCATCAAAAATACTAAAAATAACTATTTTTTGCTATTGGTGAAACAGTTGAGGGACAATTTGAAAGTTTTATTATAAACTACACTTTAGATAAAGTTAAAGAGTTCAAACAACGTTCTTTGCACAGCGGCACTATCTTTGAAAACGACTTACAGTACTAACAGCAGAGGCTGCCGAACATTAATGATAACTTTTGGAAAATGTATAAAACGTTTCTATTTATGATTTCCGTCTGAAACAGCCAGACCCAATAAAGAGAAAAATCTCCAGCCGAGAGAAATCAACACTGGACGAGAATCAAGAGATACTTTTAAGAGAGATACTTTATTGACCCCAAATTGGGAAAATATGTGTTGCAGCAGCAACAAGCAAGTGTACAGGCATTAAAATATTAAAATGTTTAAAGGTGGAAGAAAGTATTAACATCATAAAATAAAATAACAATAAGCAACTATAACATTATTATTCATCTCCCAAACAGAAACACTTTGAAAAATAAAGATATATGACAGACCAAAACTTGCAAATAAACCTAAACTACACAGATTTACCATTTTAACAAAGCAATGTAAATGTGATGTGTAGTGCAAAGAACATACAAAATAATCAGATCAACATAAAAAACAAACCAAATAAAATACAAATAAAATACATATTTAAATTGATTAAATTAGGTTTCAGTTTTCACAGCTTCAGCTTTTGTGCAATATTTAAATGTATGCAGGTAGGATTGTATGTAGGACATAACGAAAGTAAAGTTGGGTTTATGGTTCGTACATTTTCAAGAATATGATGAAACACATTTTCTTGACCATAATCAAATGCCAACCAAATAAAACGAATTAAATGTTTGGTTTGAGTTTAGAATCTAATTATAAATACTTCATCAGGTCCTTCGCTCCTCAGGCCGGCCTCTGATGTCATCAGTAACATTAATCAGGTTCCTTTCCATACAGCCATGGGCCCTTCAGTTAGAACGAAAAGGGGAACGGAGATGCCTCTGTCATTTCTTCTTCTGCTGTTAAACTGTCAACACGCGTCCATGTCTGGCTGCTGCGTCACACATCCACACATCCTCTGGAGTAAGGTCTTGCCACCAGACTGTTTTGAAACAGGCCTAAAGAGAGTGACGTATGTTTAGATATTAGGTTGATTCTCTTCATATCACACAGGCCTACATGAAATTACACAAGTGTAATCTATGTGAATAAAAACTGAGTCCCCTTACAGTGATGACTGGATGAGTTGTGTCTCAGTGTAGCTTAAATCCTCCATCAGGGCTGATGGTATCACCCTCTCCTCCACCTTGTCCTCCACTATCTTGTCCCAGATCTCCGTGTTGACCCACAGGGCCCCGGGCAGCGTCAGGCTGGCCCTGGTGCAGGTGATCCAGCGGCACAGGGGGCAGGAGACGCAGCAGAGGAACCCCTTCAGCTGGGACAGCTGCTCCAGGCAGGGTGCACAGAAGGTGTGTCCGCAGTGCAGCACCCGAGGGACCCGGCCGCTGCGAGAGTACTCATTGAAGCACACCACACACTCCTTCTCCTCGTGTACGACCATGGTGTCTGAGGGTGTAGTGAGGTGGAGTGCAGACTGGGAGCAGAGTGAAGGCATTCAACAGACCACCTGCTGCACAGGAAGAAAGAAACCAGTCAGAAATCTAATCAAATATTATCATTACTTTATACAAAAATGCATCGAGCAGTTTCTTTCTAATCATACTTACTTTCAGGGTTGATAAGGCTGCCTGTGATCCTGCTGTTGGTAACGTGTGTGTAGCTCTGCTGAGGTTTGCTGTGTCTGTGTGAACAGCCTGCTGATATTTATCAGACCTGCCTGATCATGTGACGTGTCGGAGGAATCATTTCCAAGGTAGGCAGTTAAAAGAATTCTGTGGAACTCAGTTCTTAATCACGCACGCCAAAGAAAGCACACAAACATGCGCATAGCTCCAGAGACTTCAAGAGGAATGCCTTTGAGAGCAGTCAATTGGTTCATAAAGACATTTTTGATAAAAAGAAAAGAAAAAAAAAGTCGACAACACATTTCTAATCTTTTATGGACATTTAAAGCATAATTTGCTGTGATTTATTCTGTAACCACAGTACAGGCCGTAAATACAGTGAACTTCAATGTACACTACCAGTCAAAAGGACACACCTTCTCATTCAAAGTTTTTTATTTATTTAAATGTTTTCTACATTGTATATTTATACTGAAGACATCAAAACTATAAATAATACATATGGAATTATCTAGTAAACAAAAAAGTATTAAAAAATGCAGAATATGATTTATATTTTGCTGGCTACTGCAGAATGCTGTGGTCGCCATGCTGGTTAAGTGTGCCTTGAATTCTGAATAAATCACCAACAGTGACCCCAGCAAAGCCCCCCCCCCCCACACCACCACACTTCCTCCTCCATGCTTCATGGTGGGAACCACACATGCAGAAACCATCCGCTCACCTTCTCTGCGTCTCACAAAGACACAGCGGTTGTAACCAAAAATCGCAAATTTGGACTCACCAGAGCAAAGTACAGATTTCCACTGTCTAATATCCAATCCTTGTGCTTCTTGGCCCAAACAATTCTCTTCTTCTTGTTGTTCATCCTCAGTAGTGGCTTCTTTGCAGCAATTGGACCATGAAGGCCTGATTCACGCAGTCTCCTCTGAACAGTGGATGTTGAGACTGTCTGCTACTCGAGCTCTGTGATAATTTGTGTGGGCTCTAATCTGACGTGCTGTCAATTTGTGGTTTCTGAGGCTGGTAACTCTGATGTATTTATCCTCTGCAGCAGAGGTAATTCTTGCTCTTCCTTTCCCGGGGGGGGGGGGGGGGGGTGGTCCTCATGAGAGCCAGTTTCATCATAGCGTCCGATGGTTTTTTGCGACTGCACTTGAGGATACATTCAAAGTTCTTGACATTTTCCGGATCGACTGCCTTCATTTCTTAAATTCTGTAAATGTTCTTACAACAGTATAGTGCACTAACACATCTCTGCACAACACACCAGATGGTCTCAAACACATCAAGAAGGCAAGTAATTCCACAAATTGACTCTTGACAAGAAACACGTGTTAATTGAAAACCATTCCAGGTGACGACCTCATGAAGCTGACTGATGATACCTCATTCACACCAACGCAACTCCGGTTCAAGCTCCGTGCTAGAGCTTTTCAGGTTCAGAACCGGTTCTTCGGTTTAGCTCCGGCTCTTTTCACACCGCCCAGAGTCCGACTGGTGCTGCGTCATTGCGTCATCGTTTGCATCATGACGTAACCGTTTGCGTGCCTGCTTCATAAAGCCAAACCGCGCGGAAACCCCTCACAGCTCACACCGACAACAACAACAGTGGCCGATTGTGCTCCAGCTTCCTCTGTACCTCTTCGGAAGACCAGATTCCCAGTAGGTAGCTGGTCTCTTCAGTGGACCACTGCTGCTTGTTAAGTTTCTCCATCGTTGTGTACAAACTGGATAAAACGCAGGCTTTTTGTTGTTGTTTAGGAGTTGATCCCGCCCCTGCCCCGCCTCGACGTAAGCGTGATGTATGCGGTCCTTTGCTCTAGCCGGAAACAAATTTGGTGCTTGAAACTAACCGGATTCTGGAGCTAAGAGGCTGCTCCGCTGCGGTGTGAACAGGAAAACCCGGTGCTTTTCAAGCTCCAGCTCCGAACCGGCCCTGAAACACCGTTTGTGTGAATGAGGAGAAGCCATGAGTGTGCAAAGCTGTCATCAAGGCAAAAGGGGGCTACTTTGAAGAAACTAAAATAAAAATCATATTCTGTATTATCTGGACTAGATAATTCCATATGTGTTATTTTATAGTTTTGATGTCTTCAGTATACATCTACAAAGTAGAACAAAAATAAAAATAAATAAACCATTGAATGAGAAGGTCTCCACACTTTTGACTGGTACTGTACAAGTTTGAGGTAGGCCGACTTGTAATTGGAGTATTTTCAATTGATCCTTCTAATACTTTTTACTCCACTACCTTTTTGTAATAGATTATGTTCCTGGCTATTTTGCATTTTTAGATTATTTATAGAAAATATGAACTCATAAATTACGATATATTATAGCTTAAGCTACTGAGCAGTAAACAACTAAAACAAACAAACCGCACCTTAACAAGGTGCGGTTTGTTTGTTTTTGCATTTACATGATCACTTACAACACACTTCACTATTTAGCTTACTGTATTTAATTGTAATATGTCTATAGTTAATTTCTCCGGCATTACTTGCACATTGATCTTGCACTATTTTAGTTCTACTGTTTCTTCTTGCACTTTTTTGTATTGTTTTATTCTTGTGTTGAAAGGTGCTATATAAACCCCGTCATTTTGTACTTTTACTTGAGTAACATTTTAAATGCAGAACTTCTACTTGTATGTCAACACTGTAGTACTGCTACTTTGACTCCAGTAAAATACTCTCTTAATCACTGATGATTTGTCACAGAAACGGATCAAAAGGAAGGTTTTCTAAAATGCCCCACCAAGCAGGGTAATTTATTTGCATTTACTATGAAAACATACAATGTCACACAAGATTAACTGAAGCATGGAAATTTGGGCCTTTGCTTTATAATCACACAAACACTCCCATCATCATCATCATCATCAACTTCATCAGGTTGTCTTTTTTTAAGATGGCGCCAAGAGAAAAGAGCAATAGAAAGGCAAATCTTCCACTTCCAGATCATTGTTCTGTCGGATCATCCGATATACAGTAGAACCATCTTTACCAAATGCAATGCACAACAGGAAATTATCAGCAATTATGTGAGCCTAGGCCATGGCCTGTCTGTGTGTGTGTGGGTGTTAGCCCGCACCTAGCAAACACACACTGAACATTTCCTTAGCGCCATGACAGACAAGCCAAGGCCATATCTATAAATAAGAGAAGAAAAACACGAAGAAAAAATTATCAAAAAGAAAATAATACTCAGAAACAAAATGGTGGTTCTCTCCATGTGTCTCTTCTTGGACCTATATAGAATGGCGCTATACTGGTCAGCTAAGCCAATTAAAAAAAAAGGTACTGGTCTCTATTTATTCTGTGCAGGCTCTGGGGTCACTGCTTGGCTCATAGGTTGACAGGAGAAAACTGAATCAGACTCTGAACATGGATCAGTAGCTCTCTCACAGACTGAGACGCCAACTTTGATGCTTTTTATGTAGAAGACAGAAATGGAGATATAAAGACACTTGTCAATACTGTTTCCGTTTTATGGATGATTGGAGTTCTATTTAATCTGGAGTTCAACACTTTCGTATTGAAGAAAAAAACCTCTTTGTGTTTTATTTTCATGTTAAACCAGATATGTAGCTGGAGGTAGAGAAACCGGTTCTTACGGTGCAACCGCACAAAACTGAAACCTGAACAATAGAAAGGTGTTGAATAATAAAACAGACTACAATGCCACATGCCGTGTCAAATAAACTGGTTGCAGTTTATTTGGGATAATTGGTACAACCTCATAACTGCTCTTTGTGGAACTCCTTTCTTCTCACGACTGAAAACATTTGTCTCTGGAACAGATTCAAGTCATGACCTGAGGAGTCTATGAGCTGATGGGTGGTTATCAGATTAAAGTGACATAGTTAATTAAGAAACAAGCTTTTATCTGTAAAGTTACAGAACAAGTGGTGCGTCTAGCATGTGACTTCACCTCTACACTCATCCACAACCCATGAGCCAAGTTGATCGTGACACAAACGACTGAAGCACAGATCGGATCACAACCGTTTAAATAAGCCCCTCCAGTCCCCCGGGCCATACTAACACCCCCTTCTCCCCACCTCCTCCCCCCTGCTCTCAATCCTTCCTGGGTGGGTCGGCTTTGAGTTCCCATTTTCCAAAGTCCATGGTGGTGGTGTTGGTGGTCGTGGAGGGGTTTACCCCAGGACTGAACATCCCTCCCCCTTGCGGTGTGTTTGTCGAATGTGCAGTCCACTTGCTGGCTCGCCTGCAGGGGGGGGGGGGGGGGGGGGGAGAGAGAGCGCGCCCCCCCCCACACAGGCTCCTCTCACTCCTGGGCTATGCTCCGCAGCACGTACTTGACCGTGTAGGCGAACGCCGCGAAGCCTACGATCACAAACAGGTTGGCCAGAGCTCCACCTAGAAGTCCATGGTTGCGATTGGCCTGCTGCAGGCCAGGAGCGGGGTTGGCGCCCCCGAGGGGAACGGGACCTCCGTTGAGGGCGGGGAGGCCGTAGTGGGCGTGCTGAGGGTCGCCGTCGGGAACCACGTCGGGTAAGGGGAGGGGCTGAGTGCGGGCGCTTAACTCCTCCTGCGCCTTCTGTTTTTGCTTCATCTCCTGATGCATGGAAGGAGAGAAATGAGAGAATTAGCTGCACGAAAAACAAAGAAAAAAAGGTGGAGAAATTTGAAATGAGCTCATACGTACATCGACTACATCGGGAAACAGCTCACAGAACACTTTGTCCTTGAGGTTGAAGGCCAGGCTTTGGGCTGACAGCTGTCTTTTCTGGAAAGAAATGGTAAAATGATATATGATAAATAACAGGAGGTTTACCCCCATGTGCTGCATTTATTTTAGTCATCGGTTGGCACTCACTGTGTAGTCAGAGGTCTCGATGCTGCCGAGGGTGGGGCCTTTCTCCACCATGAAGCTGAGCAGACCGGTGAGGATGGTGGAGACGGACCACGCCGGATTCCACGTGTCTGGATGGAAGTCTGTGATGGACAAACATAACCTGTGGAGGAAACAGGTACAGTTAGGAGAAAAGTGGCAAACCACAGTCATTTTCTAAAACTCTTTAAATCCTTAAACAATTGATAAATAATAAACAGTTTTCTTACCTTGTATTACACTTAAACCTCCCATTTG